TTTTTCTTTTTTTTTTTTTGCAATTACAAATACATTCTACTTTTTTTTTTAACAGGAAATTAGTGAAATGAAAATATCACACTCAAAACTTAAAAAGCTGCTTTCAGAAACAAATACCGAATTGGGTCATGCCGCGAGAAGAGCTGAACAATATGAAGCGGAGGTAAGAAAATTTTTTCTTTTTACTTTAATGGTTATCTTGATTTTTAGATCAAAAGCTATTCAGATTTACGGACCTATTCTGTGCACTTGACAGATTTGTGAAATTCTTTAATAAAATTTTTGATTTTTATAAAGCAGAAAGCTTTTTGGTATTCTGGACACATCTTGACAAATTTCAAAGCTACAGTACCTAATGCTTCTCACCACACTATGGTGTAAAGTGTTTTGTATATAAAACTGTTCGTAACTGTTCGTAAAAAAGAGCATATATTTTAAATTGTCAAAACATTTTTCATGCATTCAAATCACAATAAAAAAATGCTTGTAAGGAGCGTATATTTTAGTTAAGAACAGGTCCGTTAGTATCACTAAACATTGCCTAGAACTATAAACTATTCTATAACATTTCAATTGAATATGGGATGTAAAGTTAATAGTAAAAATATTAGGAGCCGACACTTTATTTTTACATTTGTTTGTATATTGCTTGCTGCTAAATCTTTCTTTACTTATTTTTTCCAATTAGTAAATTTTAATGAGTTGATAACATTTGTTTAGGTGAAATAGTAATTTCTCTGCAACCTTTTTTAATACGAACAAAGATTCGCATATAAACAGCATATTGCCTTTGATACTAACTTTGAATGTTCTTTGTTTCTGGTGAGAATCGTGGTGAACGCCGTTTAGTCATATGTCTTGCAAGTGAGCTTCTGTTAGTGGATTAACTATCACAATTATAATGTTATCGTTTTTTTTTGAAGTTAGCTACTATTGTCAATAATTAGAGGTTATTAGTTTGGGATTGGATGTCGATGACTGTGTATAATAGTAAGTAGATATCATCTGCAAAGTCTTAAAGCTTTGTTAGAGTCTACCCAAGATTTGGTTGAACTCATTGAAATTCGAATAAAAAATATTCAACATTTGATATGTCGTAAAAAAAAGAAATAGAATATGCGTAACATTTGGAATCACCTTTTTGACAAAATTGTTATGATAGAAAATCAATAGCCACCTATTGGACATCTAGCTCTACTAAAAGTAAAAAAATAAGTTACCATAAAATTATAATATACTTTATATAGAGAATATAAAATTTTATATAGCATAATATATATTTATATATAGTATAATATTTTATATGGTATATAGTATAATATACTTTATATAGAGAATATAAAATTTATAATATACTATATATTATGCATTAATATTATTGGAATGTAAAAGAAGACAAATATTGGTTCACATATTTTCTTCTAGATTGCATCCAGTTTGTTTATTTAGTAATGTAGTTTTATAATTTTTTCCATGAATTGATGGTATAATTAAGGTCATAATTTTATGGATGAGGTTTAGAAGTGATATTTTTCTCCAATTATTGTATTCTGTTGGGTATTCTTTTATATTTTAATATTTAATTTTAATAAAAAATATTTTAAATAGTAATGAATATTGTTTAAACCGGAACCGGAACAATTTTTTAGTGTAATTGATTCAAACTTTTTAACCGGCTCGTTGCTGAAGAATATCGAATCACTTCAGAATTTTATTTCTTCATCACAACTATGAAGAATTTATTTTTCAGTACTTCAGGTTCCGTTCTTATCAAACAAGCTTCATGTGTGATCGTAATATTCATTCAATAACGATACTGATAAGTTTGAAAATGAATCAGTCTGAAATGAAGTATTAGTTAGTTTATCAGTGAACTTAAGTTTTATAAAATAAATTCTATATTCTATAATAGAATTAACCTCTAGCCTTAGCATTGGCCAGGTTGTTGCCTTTATAAATGCCTCTGGCTAGTACTAGCTTGATCTTTTTGGTACCCATTATTAGGAGGATTTGTGGATTTAAAACGACTTTCTTAGCTGATTGAGGAGGATTCGGTCTTCCCTTCACCACAACTAACTAACTATAATAGAACTATTAATTATTGATACCATGATAGTAAAGATATATATATGTGTATATGATATTTGACTATTTTAAATGACTTAACAGCGATTTTTGTTTTAAAGATTTTTTATAAATTTTTTATAAATTATGCTTTAATTTATACCCTTGAATTATATTATAAAATTACAATATATTATATTTTATCAATAAGTGTAAAATTTAGATGGTAGTATGGCTATCTATATTGATAATATCTTTAAGAAAAAAATTCATTCAATCCTTAAAGATTTATTTTGATACATAAAATACATAAAGCATATCTAATTATATTTTTAAATGCAAGTCTTTAACACAACATATAGCAATTATTTTAATTTGCAAATGCAGCAATTCCTGTAATAGCACGACCCAATATCAATGCATGTATATCATGGGTACCTTCGTACGTATTTACGGATTCTAAGTTCATTACATGACGTATAATGTGGTATTCATCTGATATACCATTACCGCCTAACATATCACGCATTGCACGTGCAATTTCTAATGCCTTTCCAGCATTGTTTCTTTTGATCAACGAAATCATTTCCGGTGTATGTAAATGTTTGTCCTTTAGACGCCCAACCTGTAGACAAGCTTGCAAGCCCAAAGCTATTTCAGTAGTAGCATCTGCCATTTTCTTTTGTATTAATTGATTTGCAGCTAATGGACGCTTAAATTGTTTTCGATCCAAAGTATATTCTCGTGCAATTTCTAAGCAAGCTTCTGCTGCACCAAGTGCACCCCAAGCAATACCATAGCGTGCATTATTTAAGCAGCCAAATGGTCCTTTAAATCCCACAACATTAGGTAGTAGATTTTCTTCCGGCACATGTAAGTCGTCCATGAGTATCATACCCGTCGCAGAGGCACGCAAAGAGAATTTTCCTTCAATTTTGGGTGTGGCTAAACCTTTTGCAGATTGTGAACGATCCACTATAAAGCCACGAACTTTACTATCTTCACATACAGCCCATACTATAAGCACATCAGCAAGAGGAGAATTCGTTATCCAAGTTTTGGAGCCATTAAGTATGTAACACTTTGATTTACTGTCATATTTGGCACGAGTTTCCATACCTGCTGGGTCACTGCCGTGATTTGGTTCAGTTAAACCGAAAGCACCTGTAAACAAGTCGCTTATCAATTTATGGCAAAAAAAAAAATAGTATTATTCAAAAGAAAAAACAATAAAAATATTGCTTATGTTTATCACTTTTAATATCTCTTAACCAAACACTTACCGATAAGCTTTCCTTGCGCCATGGTGGGCAGATATTTTTCTTTTTGTGCTGCTGTGCCATAATCGTATATTGCGCCCATTGCTAAAGAGCTTTGCACACTTAAAGCCGAACGATAAGCAGAATCTACACGCTCAATTTCTCTAGTCAAGAGTCCATACGCTACATTGGATACACCGGCACAGCCATAACCATTAAGTGTACAACCAAGTGCACCTAAGCTGCCTACTTCTTCCATAATTTCTCTGTGGAACACTTCATTTCGGTTTGCTATTTTGACACGCGGTAGCAGATCTGTTTTGCAGTAATTACGAAACGAATCACGTATAGCGATTTCATCTTCAGTTAGTTGTGATTCCAGATTTAATGGATCTTGCCAATTGAATTTTGCTGCTTCTGTTGATGATTTTGTAGCAAATAAACGTTGCATACATGGACGCAATTTTGTGATTAGATTTTGCGCAATCATATTTTATTTTGTTGTTGTTATTGTATTCTATGCTAATTCCAATTAATTATAGCAATTTTCGGCGTCCACAGTCTCTGAGTTCTAACCACCGACAAGCACAGCTACTCTCGCAATACTAAAAAGCTTATTCTTATGTTGTTTTGAGGCAGGTCTCTTATCTTGCTTGTGTGTGGAAAGTATCTCAGCTGTTTGTTGAGTTTCAGTCTTTGTTTTCTTCTGTTTGTTTTTAACATTTTAAGTATTTTTTATTTATGTGTGAGTATGAATTATTTTTTTGAATCTGGAAAAATATCTCAAATTTAAAAGCATATTCTAAATACAATTACAACAACTTTATATACCAGTAAGTACTACTTGATTTAATATATATTTTTTAAAATTATAATATAAAACATAATTATATATAAATAATAATTTAAAATAAATATAAATAATTATATTATTATTATAAAACTCTGTAAAGTAGGTTCTATACTACTTTTTATTTACGCAACAAGGCTTAAAGACCTACTCTAAGCCCAGAAGGGGGCACAAAAGACCCGACGGTCGCAGTGCTACATCCCCTAATAATAATAATAATAATAATAATAATAATATCATTATTATTTCAATTTTAAATTAATAACAAATCTACCAAAATAAGTCTTTTTAATTATACCATATCTACTTGTTTCTTATGTGAATATGTATTATTTTTATTATTAATTCCTTTATGATTCGTATATAATAGATCATATACCAAATTTAACAAAATAAATTTTAATTATTTTACATCAACTTATTTTCTTGATCTTTAGTACGCATTAAGATTTACTGTTATAATTTAAAAAAATAATTATTTTTATAGAATAAGATTTGTTTTTTAATTTTGAATCATAGAAAATGTTCGAATTACACGACTGGAACGCTTATCAATCTATTATTACATTATTTTAAATGAATGATGATAATATAAGATAATCGGATAGTGATAAATGCATTGGAGTCAAAATTCGATATATGTGTTTTACATGTTCCTTCAGAAAATAATTTAGTTCATTGTATTGATTTCTATAATTTTCTTCTCTAATCTCTCAACACTAAAGACATCATCTACAAAGTAATACTGAAGCCTATCTGTTCATATGGAATTCAAAAATGGGACTTAGTCTAAAATAATACATAGATTTTAGTTAAAAGTATTGTGCATGTGTCCTGGGATAGAGATATCCTGGGATAGAGTTATTTCGGGAAATTGTAGGGCGGACGAGCTTGCCAAGGCAGGCACTTTTCTTTATGACATTTACTTCTCAGATATTGACGTTCCACTTGTAATAGTTAAACTAGCAACTAAACAAAAATATCTGAGCATAGCCAAACAAAAGTGGGCAGACGAATCCTGCTATCAGATCTCTAGGTTGACCTGGTCTAAATTGAATAAAAAAACATACCACTCAGCTACTGCAACTAAGGCGTAGACCGCTCAGCACTATAGTGTCGTTGCTGACAGGTCACTGTATAATAAGTAGACATGCTATGAGACAGGGTTTACCCTACAATGATTGGTTGTGACTCTGACGATAAGAAAACTGTACCATATGTCAGTGCCCGTCTTTAGGAGTAGATTTAAAATCTTCTATAATATATATTATGTGGTGTTAAATAAAAATAAAATTCACTGGATAAAACAAATATAGAATATATAGAAATCCAAGAAATATAGAAATACTGCAGTTATAATGCAATATATATTTCTTATTTTAGTTAATAGTTTTTAATAACTATGTAAACTCTACGAATTTACAATGATTAATAAAAAAATTTGGACTAACTTGTTGAGTACCATCAAATCTTTATGTAAACATTTTCGATCTCACGATTCCTATTATTAACTATAGAATTTTGGTAGAGTTCGTTTTTATTGAAGTAAAAAACATGGAACTAAGCATTGAATCTTTTTGTTTTTAATTTTTATATTTTAGGTTAAAAGATTGCGTCAAAGAGTTGAAGAATTGAAACGTGAATTAGCAGGAGCAGAAGATGAATTAGACTCTGCAGTGAATCAAGTACGTAGATTGCAACGTACAAATGATGAATTGGTTGGCCAGAGTGAAGGATTACAAGTGCAAATACAACATTTACAAACAAGGTTTGATGATACATTCTGCTATTCAATGTTTAATATAATAATCAATTTCATTTTACCTTTATTATAAAAAAAATACTAACATTTCATTAACATTTTAAATAATAAATTTTAATGCTACATATGCTTACTGGAACTGAATATGCATATATATGTATATATTACAACAATTATTTAATACAACGTACACGATCTCTTCATAAGACGTGCACCAAGTCCACAAATGCGCATAACAACTGGTGTGCAATTACGCAATAAAATTGCCGTTGAAATTCCAAGTGATTGTTTGCCAAATATTAATGATCTACGACAAATATTTGATGATGCACAATCTGCACAACGTCATTCTTCCAATGGTATGGATTCTTCGTCAAAGCGTTCAAGTCATACTGAACGAACTTTAATGCAACAAAATAGCGCATTTTTTGATGCGAAACCATCACATTTGGAAGAGAATATATTTGAATCGAAATCGCGTAATTTAGAATTTGAACGTGCCAAGCAAAAATTTGATAATCCATCACACTTGCATCACCAACATCATCACCACCAGCGCGAGCAACGCGAACGTTTATCCGGAAGATTTACATCGTCTGGTAATCAACAGTCAAGCAATAGGGCTAACCTAGCGCTACCGTTGAAAGGTACCACCGCTTCACTTTGTGGTAACACAAATTCAAATCTAACCAAAGACGATATCAATCGGCAATTGTTTGATGATCATTCGCATTCCTCAACGGTTGGTGGTGGTAATGTCGGTGCAGGAAGTATTGGTGGCGGTAATATGCAATATCAGAAAAAAGATAATTCCATTAGTAGTAGTACTGGTGGTAGCTATTCAAGAAACAGTATTAATTTAGATGGTCTTAAGGTATCTGATGATGAGGTAAGTTTGTTAAGTTGGATTTATCATATTCATTCAAATTTATAAAAAAAAAAAATTTTTTTAAAAGAATTTTAAATTTTTTCTATGTTTTATTTGATTTTAAATAATTTTACTAATTTGTTTTTATATTATCAAATTATCGAAAACTGATATTTGTAAGTATCTATATGTAACTCTCTTAATATTCTTTTATTTCTTTTTATTTTTTTTTTTAATGAAATTAATAATAAGAAAAATTATATTAATTTTTTTCTCATAGTATTGTAGTAATACTTTTTAAATATAATATTTATAAAGTACTAAATAAAAAGTGATAAAATATTATAATAATTATTAATCACATTTTACTTTTTTCGTAGACTCCGTAATTATGGTTCCACGAGTTTATTACTTGATGACGAATTGGAGGAAAATAGTGACGAAGGAATTTAATAGAATTTATTATCTAAAATACGACCATATATAATCAAAACTTAACTTTATATATTATATACTTAATTAGTTTTAAAAATTTAGTGTTATCCTTCAAAAAATTCCATTTAAAAAACTCACATTTCATTACATATTTAGTTTTTGTGTACACAACATTCATCTTCATTTATATAATATTCAGTATTCAGTTTTTATAAGATTATATTGAATAATTTGTATACTATTTTTTAGATATACTTAACTAATCCTTAATCCTACATTAAAATTAAGATAAGATTATGGAAGCCATAAGAGACGTTAGAATCTCAACTACAAAATTTATGAATTAACAGACATTATATACATTTACACGAATAAACATGTATAGTTATATGTAACAAAAATCAGTGGCAACGGTAGACGTCACCGATGCCCACGCTTCTATTGCTGCCACTGTAAAAAAAGTTATAATTAATTTATTCCAAATGTATGATTTAAATATTTTCAGTTCTTTATTATTGTTATGTATTATATTTATTGACATATAGATATAATACAAAACAGCGTAATTGATTATATTTAAATAATTATTATTAAAAATTAAAATAGTTAAAAGCAGCTATCTAATACTAAATAAAATTTAAAGGCAACTTTGAGTTTATAATATCTACTTAATAAAATATTAGTTAAGATATATAAGATATCTCCAATGATCTTATATCACAAAATGAGTTAAATCATACGTTTCCGTTTAATAAAATTCGTTGGTTTATCTATGAGAAACCAGTGATGCTATACAAATAAATTAAAAAAGCATACATAAATCTAAAAATGCAACGAAAAATCCCATTCTATTGTGACTAAGTTCTCTTATTTGAGATAGTAATGATTACTATTACATATTAAATCCTACCTTAAATAATATTGCCATATATGTTAAAGTATTTTTAATATACTTTATATAAAAAATTAACTTTAAATTTATATTGAATAAGTAACAAAACTCCTATATAATGTTAACTTTTTTTTATATTCAATATTATTTTATATGTTAAAGACCACTTGTATTTTACCACACTCTACATACATAATTATATACAACTAATTGAATTGAATATATACACTTATATACAATGTTATTAATATCGAATTCGGAAAATAGCAAAAATTTGATTTAAGTGCATTTTATTGTAATAATAAATTAGTTGATAGTTTCAATAAAGTTTATTAAGTAATAATAAGTTTATTTATTTGTTAGTGGAATTTTAACAAACCTTTTGAATAATTTTCTTTTGTAAACAGGAGCAACTTCTATAGTAGGTTCTCCCAGTTTGTTTTGTAAATATGAATTTTGTCAATGTAAAAAAGTACTTCATACCAAATAATAATATTAGGAATTCTCCTGATAAAGGCAAAAGTGAATATGCCGAAATATGTATGGAGATATACAAAATACAACGTACGAAACAAAAGTTATAATCCTAAAAAATTACTTCATACTACTTCCTTCCACGGACTACAACAATAACAACAATATTTTCTCTTTTGATCTTCAATACTGTCATATATAAAAGCTATAAGAATATCATAAACGGTTCGATGTATATATCAGATTTACTTGCTAGGCATCAAAAATTTAAAACCAATATTTCGTTTCGATTATTTTTCTTCTACTCTTCTATCTACTTATCGAAATAACATTAGCATTAAGGTAGGAATACTTTCAACTGAGCGTCATGACCTTTTTTTTTTAAATTGCTAAAAATATGTTCACTATACATATACTTTATGGGGAGTACTCTTTCAAACAAGTGTCAACAGTAGGGACTTTAATGAGTATTAAGTAAATCTAATTTAGGTTAGGTTCGAATAGTTTATACCGGCGATCGTAAGAATCCACTTAGGGCTAGTGAATGAAACTTTGAGGATTCAAAGATTAGAACTTACCTATGGCAAAACCTAAAAGCTCTTTAAAGGAATATCTTGGAACTGGCCAAGATCGTCAAAAAAGTAAGCCCCTAGTATAGTTAATCCCTGATGCTTTTGCACTGGACAGTAACAAAGCATATATCAGGCACTTTTGTCACAGATTATTCATACCGACTAGCATGGTTCCCTCAACGGCAGTGGTGCTGGTACAACGCTTGTGAGAAAATATTCCCATATAAGATTTAAATGCTTTACAGAAATGATAAGCGTTATTTTAGCAATTTAAAAGTTAACATTATGATGACCAGAGCAAAGTGTTTCAAAGGTGATTCAAAAGTATTAATTACAATAAATATAAAAACTGTAAAAGAAATTTAAAACAGACCTAAAAGCTACCAATTACTTGAAGTCGACCAATATGTACTATGAAACTGTTTTTCATCTAATAAATTTATTAACAGTATTCCAATTTTTTCACTGCTATTTTCTTAGTAATGTGAAGAGTAATTATATGCGTAGCTAGGGGGGGCTTGGCTATATGGTCACCTTCTTCTGAAAGTGTGTCAGAAGTAATATTTTAAAAATGTAATAAAAAGCTGTGAGCTATCCTAAATTTAATGGAACAATGGCGAAGTTGTGCACTGATTTTGTACTGTTAAGTTTGAATCGTTTTCGGATTGTCCATTAGTATTTTCCATAGTATTTTGACGTTGTCCATTAACGTCAAAATACACTATATCACTACATAATAACCATAATAAAGTGTAAATATTTTACTTGCTTAGCAAATATTGCAGTTTTATAGTCTTCTGTTATTGGAATGTCATTTGAATATAGTAGAAAGAATATGGGTCCTAGTACCTGCCTTGTATAAGACCAGTATTCTTATCTGTGAAGTGTAGACTAATAGACTTCTTGTTAAATTTGAAAGTACCGATTTCCTATGAATGCTTAAATGAAATCACAATATTTCTTTAACTTTTGTATTCGCAGTTTGTATATGATATCATTATCCCAAACTTTCCCAAAAGGCCTGTGAAATATCTAAGATCACTGTAAAACATCACTTCTTTCTTTTTAAGCCATTTTCAATTGTATTGTTACTTTAATGAAAAAGATTCCAATATTAAATGTTTAGTTCTGGAATCAAATTATTAATGCAGAATCAGATTTTCTTTATTAATTGTTTCAGTAAGTCGCTTTAAAAATATTTTTTTAAGAACTTTTGTCAGATTAGTTAAAAAAACTATAGTTAAACCGTGTGAGTTAATTTGATATGAAGATTTTTCAGTTTTAGGTATTATTACTTCTGTCTCAAGTTATCTTTTTTGAATATATCAAAAGCATATATGTAAATATAACTTTTAATGAGTTTAAGATTTTTGCAATCTTAGGTTAAAAACTGACGCGGATTTGAATTTAGAAGATTTGATACTGGTTTTTGTCTTTTGACGAGAAATGGAGATATGATTACATTATTGTCTAGTTTAATTTGAGAAGTGTTAATTCTATCATTATTTAAAAATATTTTTAAGTTGGTTTGAAGAACACTTCTGTTTGTGCTTGTTGCTCCCATATGTATTCAAACTTTAATCACTAATAGTATATCACTAGTCGCTTGAAGTCTTTTGTTACCTTTCAAAGAAAGTATTTTGAGATAATTTCACAAGAATAGTTACATAAAATCGTTTCAAGAGAGATATTTCATGCTGACTTATATTTTATGTTAGTTACATTTTTAACAACCTTTATTGGGTCAAAATTTTGTTATTTCCGACATCCCGTTTTTCGGAAATTTATGAACACCTTTTACTGATCAGATGAATACCTTTTATTTGAATTCATATAAAACTATATCAATAGGAAAAGGACCCAAGTCGTTTCGTGGTCTACTTCGACTAATCCTTACTTCAGTGGGGCCACTTGTTGGACAGTGCGCTGTCCCAACGTCCCACCATATATATATCAATAGGTACAACATAATATATTATATAAATTAAATATTTTCTTGCACGCATGGAGAGGTTTGAAATTATTTGCATTACCATTCGGATCTATTGTTCATTGAAGATTTAAGTCTATTGTGTCCAATTCTATTAATTTAATAAAAAAAACTTCTTATATTATTGAATTCGATTTATTGAAAAATGTGTATTATATATATTTTATTCTGCAATGTTATTAATATAATAAATTTGTTTAATATAAAAGCTTTAGCACATTTTCAGAAGATTTAATCTATTTTTCTATTTTTATTTTATTTTTATAATTAAATATATATTAAATTTACTTAATGCTCGTACATAGTACTTTAGTTCGGAATATCGTAGAATTTATAAGTTAATTTTAAAAACAAGAATTATGCTATTAAAATTTAGTTCTAAAAATTTTGTTCTGGAATCTTTGGTAATAGTTGTCTTGTGTAGTGTTTAAGAATGTGGTTTATGTGTAGGTACAGCTTAATAACTTGCAATGTATTTGTAGAAGAAAACAATTATTTTTGTATATTTCAGCTAATATAAATTTTTAATATAATAACAAACAAATTTTTATTTTTACAATATTATTAAATAAATTATAATATTTTCAACTATTGAGAAGAGAAAAATGTTTATCGTTTTTAACTGATGTAGACTTAATCTAATGTAATAGCAAATGTTTCGGGGAAAAAAATAAATTTTTAGGTTATATTTTTAATTAAGAGAGAAATAAACCGTTAGTTTTTTCAATTCATTCAGGTTTAAAAATTTTATTTATGCTTGCTAATTAGAATTAATTGTAAATAAAAATATGTAGGTAAGGTTAGGTTAGAGTAGTAGCCTTGCATTCAGAAAACCCACTTGAGCACAAATAATGGGTCATTATTGATATAATGGACCATGATACCATAGATTAAACAATGATTGATACGCGATATTAAGTGGACCATCAAAACAAGTATAAAGGCCAATGCACAGATGACGTCACTAGTCGACTCTTACATAGGTTAGTTTAGGTTGTATTGGCCATCCCTAGGGATTCACTTAGGCCTATAGACCTATTGTGTTACCGTATAATAAAAAAACTCAAGGGTTAAAACCACTTAGAATATTTGGCAAAGCTAATAATGCTATTCAGTGGGAGGTCTTGCAGTTCGCCAAAATCCTCAAAATAGAAACCCCCTAAAGTGATAAGGCGGCGCCGCGCATATGCTAGATAGAAACAAACCAGATGGAAGGCACTTTTATCCTCCATTAAAGTAAAAGTAAACCAACATGACTAGTCTATAAACTTGGATACTTGGATCAATTAAGGGTAATTGTTAACAGAAAAGATCTGCTATAGTTTCAGTGCTCTATTTTTCAGATAGCACAAAATCCTTTTATATTATATTTTAGAAAATTTGTTTTTTTTTATATGATAAGTATGTATGTAATGTTTTCTGAATATACGTTTAAGTGATTTCATTATCAAATGCAATAAATAACATCTTCACATTTTTAAGTAAAGTTCTACATCAGTTAGATGGGGAACATATTTGTAAGGTTATTAAGTTAGTTTAATATCATTTCTTATTTTCATTGTAGGTACATGTTACTTTCATTTAAATTATCTAGATTACTAAACTAATAAATTGATAAATTTACAGAATTTTATATAATAATTTACCTATCATAATATATATCTATGTATACAAAATTTTTGTTTATAGTTTTTAATATAATTTTTAATGTACAAAAGCTAATTTTCTATAAGTATCTTTTAACTCTGTACTCGCCAACAAATCGGTTCCTTAAATACAAATTTACATGCAATCTCCATGTCAAAGACATATTACATACAAGTATATAAATAGCTAATAAAATGATCAATTAATGGGAAATAATGATAAAGCAAATAAATAGCTTATAAAAACATTTTTTAAATTAATAATAAAAACAATTTACCCATTAAAATCTATGAAAAACCATAAGCATAAATACTAATTTAATATACAATAAATATTTTATAATTACAAAAACGTTTAAACCTTAATCTGTTTAAATTATTGTTAAAGAAATTGATTAACAATAAAGCAAATAAGTAGTAATAAGATATTTGCGAAAATACTTCCAGCATTGCCGCACAATTCGATAGAACTTTCCTGTAAAAGTAGGGGTTATATTTCTGGTGGAGAACTCAAACCAAATTATGTGCAAGTACTTACATTAACATGCCTGTTAATACAACTTACAGGACGTACTCTTGTGAACTCACGATCATGCTTATAGCATGCTAATGTATCATTTCCCTCTAATTGATAATTAATGTCGATGGGATTTACGGTCAACTCCATCGTATATTCCTTAGGGCACACCTGATCGATGACGAGTAATATTAGATTACTCGCTGGTATAGGCAACACAACAAAGGGCCTAACACATGCATGTGCTGTTATATTATAGACTACATTATCCTTGTCATTGTACAATGTATATAACAGACGTTGCATATCGCATGATTTGAGCCGTGTGCGCTGCAATGTTACTGATTTTAACCATTCGGTGTTTTTCGTACTAGGTTGGTAAAAGGTCAAATTTTCATCCGTATATTGCTCTATAAACTCAGCAGTTACCGCATGCATTTGTACAATATACCACAATAAAGTATAAAGCAGCCATTTAACTATGCGTAGCACATGGAGTAAGGGCTAAGGAATAATATAAATTTGTATGACAATATATAGCAATGTATAAATAAAATCTATTTTACCGAAAATAAGTAATTGGAAGAATTGTTGTCTCCATTAGATTGAAAACAAATCGCTTGATAGTCGTAAACAGTAACACGTTTATACACTCTTTCTTCAACCAAGCGGTGCATAATATAACCATTGATTTCACCAAAAAATTTTCCAGTCTCTTGACGATGCGGTGATATAATGACAAAACCATTATTGTCTAATATATAGCAACCTTTATCGTCCATTGCGCAAGCCTAATATAAATATTTAGATTTATAACAATGTATATAGTTGCAGTTTTGAATTAGTATGAATTAAATTTATCACGTTTTAAATACAATAATATATGTATGTTATATATTACTAAAGATATATAAAAATTAATGCATAGGCATAATATGGAGTACATTTGGCAAACAAATGATCCATTTTTTTACAAATCGGACGGATTTTGGAAAAAAAAATTGATATATGCTTTTTTTTATAAAATAAGAATACCATTATCTTTGTAAAAAATTTTGTATTTTTTTTTGCTAGAAGATATCTACCCGTACCCAAAAATACAGGTGTTTTTATTTTATTAAAGGATCTCATAAAAGATTTTCGGACAAATCGGAGATGATAAGTTCAAAAACATAACCGATTTGTAAATGAATGACCTATGTACAGGGATCTTCACATAACTTTCCATTATAAAAAATGCAATATATGCCGGTGTACTTTTATTTTATGACGTCATCATTTTCGACATGTTTATAATTTTTATTACACGTATTTCATAGAACAATATGGGTATTGAAATCATATCTTCTGAATTGGAATAATACACAGTAAGTATGAAACTATTTAAACGTAGTTCTATTAAGTATTACTATCATATTAACAGTTTTTGAGTTCTATTCAGAATAGAATACAATATAACTATCTTCAAGATTGTTATCTACGTAAGAGTTACCCCAAAATAAATGGTCATTCCAACAATTCTTTAGTTTCGTTTACAATGACTAATGACTTCATGATACTTTAAACAAAAAGGGGTGTTACAATAAAAGTAATATATATTTTAAACTCATATAGATTTTCCAAATGTGAATCAACTGAGACGCACCTAATTTCATTTAATCATAATCTACAATTTTATATGTTTTGAACAGTGGTGTATATAAGAGGATTT